TAGTTCTAAAAAACAAGGGTTAATTTAAATTTAAACTAATGAATATTTTTTGCATCTACTTTTTCATACATTCCAATAGAAATGTAAAAAAAAAGGACAAATAAATACGCCGTTTCCATTTACAAAGCATCTGTTAGTGTTTTGTTCAAAATAGCGAAGTACTATAGCCAAGAACTGATCAATAAAAATGAAAACAAAATGAGACAATAATATACAGATAATGACAAAAGTGTACACATATTTAAGATCAAGAATTCTGAATTAATTGTTAGTATCAAATCTATATTACAACTAAAATAGGATAAAATGAAACTAAGTATTGTTCGTGTATATTAATACATTCGTCGATAAATTGTGAGTTTTGTTCGATTGCAGTTCCTAACTTCATACGTCTGAAAAAAAAAATGTAGACGAAACAAATTTGGAAATCTACAACAAGAAAAAAAGATTTTTGATAAGAAAAAACAAGTGGAAGACGAGTAAATTTTTAATAATGGATCGACAAAACAAGCAAAATGCTTTTTCTACTTGGTTTTTTCAAGTAATCCAGATCAAAGAAACGATTCCTGTAAATGATATACAGAATCGAAGATCGACGTCATTACGCAGCTGTTTTTCGTAAGCTCATAAAATGGAATGACAGATTACAGTGAGAAGAACATAGTATTTTTTTTTTTTTAAATCGCAAAAAATTTTGCATACTTTACTTTTACAGTAGATATTTAGTATGCGCAACATTGAATATATTTTTCTATTACTGTGAAACAAAGTGAGATATAAGATATCAATCGCGGACTTTGACAATAGAGGTCACCAATAGAAAAATCATTTCATTGGATATCAATTTTATTCAATAATATGTTGATTGATTTACTTACTTAGATATTTTATCTTTGAAAAATTGTCAATATGATATCATCACCAAGTTTAATAGAATCTCGTTTAAACTCTTCACCAAATCGTTCTGATCCAGATATAGAAGCTAAAGTACGTTCATCTATACGTGCAATAAATGAAACAATACAATCAAATGCTAATGAACCATCATTAGCTTTCTATCGAATACAAGTAAGTGACAAGAATTATTTATTTTTTTAAAACTTTCTTTTATTTCTTAGGAACATGTACGAAGATCTTTACCTACAATGATACAAAAACGAATTGAACTTGAAAATTTACATGATCGTATGAATGGTCTTATTTTTGATATTGAATATAGTGTTGATGCTGTTAAGTCTCTTGAAACAAGTGATGAACATTTAAATGTAAAGACAATTTTTATTTTTAATAATTTTAAATAGAACAGTTTTTATTTTATTTAGAATATTGCGACTTATTTAGAAAAATCTATTTATATTAGTAAACAAATAAATTTAATAAAGCAACAACAAATTCAGCAGCAAATATTAGAAAAAAAACATGGATCATGAGCATAATTATAACAATTCAAATCTCTTCAATTCTCTACATGAATTTCACAGCTTTTTGTGTTTTTTTTTTCGTCGTTTTATGCTGAAAATTTTGAATAAAGATTAATTGTATAATATAGAAATCAATAATTAAAAAAGGTTAGAAAAGTATGCATCTATAAAATATTTTATATCAAAATCGTTGCAAAATTCATCAAATTTATTTTTATGACATATTTTAAATTTAAAAAAAATTCAAACATTATTCATTTGATATGAATTAATTAAATATGCTTCCGCTTCACATGTTCTGCAGTCTACCAAGCTGCATTAGATATAACACAATTTCAAAAATCTTTTATCAATTGAAATATTGAGTTTTTCATTTGTCTGTTCTATAAAATAAATAAATGTTCTGCTCTTTTATAAACTTTTGTCGTGTCATATTTTATCCCAAAAATAAGAACACCTGCTGCAAAATTTGAACATTTTATTATTTTATGGAACAATTGAATTTACATAATACTATGATTTTATCTGTTTATACGGTTTTGATCAGTGCCATACATTCATTTCTGAAATTGAAGCAAAATCTTTATTTATTATTGTTGTTGACAAAGAAATATATCTATTTGTTTTTGAATAAAAAATTAAAGCATTTGCAGCGATTCTAAAAATATTAGCTCATTTTTAGTGACTCTTCCAAATCTACCTCAATTATTTGATCTATGTTATATAAGCTAGGTGTGGCACTTTATTTTCGCTTTAACAGTAAGTAGTAAATACATATTTACTTCAATAAAAGTGAATACTATATAAATTGTGTTCGAAGTATTTAAGAAATATTGAAGTTAGATTAAAACAACTATTAGTATGAATTGAAGGTCATAATAGAGGTTATATTCAATGCTTGATTTTATTGGGAGAACTCATAACAATCAGTAATGTGTTAATTGTCAACTACTGAACATTTTCTTTCTACTCAGTTAGCAAACACCTTTAGTGTTTAGATGTGGGTTTCAATTCAGCTGTCTCGTCTACTTCAAGTATATATCGAAGCTAATACTATGATGCAGACATCTCGAAAGATACCCATTGTCCTGACATTGGAAATTCGAGAAATCCATGTTTTGCGACTTCGTCCTTTTTATTACAGACCGTAGCAACTGAAGACAGAAGGCATCAGACTCTTTTCCCACAGTTCTTTAGTAATTGAAAAGGCACTGAACGGTATTAATAAGAAAACTTAGACTGTTCTAGAGAATTCTAGATGATTCCAAGGTCTTCTGCAAAACTTGAATGACAGAAATACGTTTGTCAATATTCTAAATAAAGCCGTTTTTTATTTTTTGCACATATAAAAATTTATATTCAAAATGTCAAGGATAATGGGTCGTGGTGCGTTCATTTGCTACAGTCGTCAAATGGTCAACATAAAAGTATGAATTAATCACGTTACAACTTTTGGAAATTATGAACATCAATATTTCTGAGTTGATTGAGATATATAATAATGGGGTAAAAGTTTGTGTCACTTTTCGTTGCATTGTACTGTTCTTTGACAACAAAAACTAAAGTTAAAGGTTTTAAAACAGAAATAAAAGTTGAGCTTTTTGTAGTTTTGTATGGAAAAGCTCGTCGGCGCAGTCCCAGATGAAGCTAAAACATGGAACTCATATACAGCCAGAGTCGCCTTAAAGATCACAGTAGACTTTCAAGTTGTAGAAATCTCTTTAAAAACACAAGAATAGATCTCAAGACGAACGAGTCTCAGTTAGGATATTCGTTGCACACATCTTCTGCAATCTTCTTCTATCATTTCTATGTTACACAACGTTATTTTCGTTCATTAATTTCGGTTCAATTTCTTTTTCACACACATTCTGCTGTACTCAGCGTCGAGACATTCTACCATACTGTCGTATGCATTTACGAATCCAAAGAGCGATTTTTGTCACTCCGCGTCCGTGTATGCTCATTTTCGCTGAATTTAGATATCTTTCAATGTCTCTTCTCATGTCTTCGCAAGCATATTGAAATGGTGAGGTGCGATGTCTCTAAAAGGGCCCCAGTGTCTGTAAACGAGAGGGGGGGAGGCTAGCGATCTCAAAGCGGTGAAAACAGTAGAAGAGACAAGGGTCGATAAAGCATCTTTTCTCCTCTAAACATTTTCGAAAACAAACCATATGAGAATAATAAGTCACTTATGAGCTACGACCTGGGTATAGTCTCTTATCTTGGTTTCGCATCAAAATTTTTTGACACCTCTACCTCCTCTCACTGCTTCCTCAGACATTCAAAAAAGAGATTTTGTCTCTTGTTGCAATGAAATGCATGCAGTTGTACAGAATCGACGATCCTGATTACAAATACCGTCGTGATTGTTCTATGAATCCTTTTGGTGAGCTATATGACAAGATTTTGAAAATTTTTCACTTGTAGCGAAAAAAAGATTTTAGAAAGACTTTTATCTTCTCTGGATTTCATAAAATGCTTTAACTCTTTGAAAAGACATGCAATAGAGGCAATCGAGTATTCTCTATCTGTTGATATATAAATTATGACACCTAAGTGTATAGATCAGCTCACACGGATATCAGTTTGTGTGTGGATGGATGCGCATCAATGTATCTCAAGAGATTTCACTCACAGGTCCAGACATGCTTACAACCTAGCCGAGATATACGGAATGCCCACTTATCTGCACCCAACCAACTATACCCACATCCACTAGTACACCAGCTTCCACCCGATTCACTCAGTCATCATTCTGGGGTCCCTTAAAAATCAGTCACGTCAACCTTCGAGCACCTATTAATCCACAAGGATCCAGTGCCCTAAAGCTATGCTAACCGACCGACACTAGCACTAAAAAACCCACATTGGTGCCCTCAATTTTGCTTACGCTTACGCTCATATGCTGATGACATCAGGAACAAAGAGCCAATGGGTGTGGGTAGTTGGGATTGGTTCTAGATCTGATGGTTATCTTGGTTCGATAGATGCTTGTAGTTCGACGCTTGAGGATGACTAGTTTTTCAGATGGCTTGGAGAGATATTGGTGTGGGTATATTTGGTTGGTTGAACGCAGTTGAATGGGCAGTCTCCTCTTGCCACGCTCATGCGTACGCATCCACTCCCACAAAATTAAAAAAGAATGTCTGTTTTTAGTATTATATTGCATTTCTTTAGAGAAAAGTGAAAATTTTTTCCCCCAACCAAGAACATATTCAGATAGAGTGTGACCAACTGCATTCCCTGCTCATATTTCGGACGGCGATAAAGTCAAATGAGAAGATCATTTTTTTCAAACAAGAATGATGCACCCCGATTTGCCCATAGTCGTGCCGGGAATGTGCTTTTGTAAGCTGATCAATTTGCTAAAGTGTCACAATTTCCACATGTTGATGAATACTAAGCACTATGAAATTCAAGAGAATTGTCTGATCAATATAGGAGCATATTGAACATAGTAGATAGAAGAAACTGTTAGAGTAGCTTTTCTAGTTTGTATTAACAGTTCCTATCGAAAGTTTTGCGGAAGGAATGCGAAATTTACAAAATGACGATTAGTGAAAATCGAAATGTTTGATATTTTTTCTTGTAATAGCACCAATCAAAAACTACAAGCAGCTGTCAGAATACCTATTATGAGTAGTTATGTATTATTGACATTGATTACTTTGTGTTATTTGAAAAATTTGTATAGAACAGTTGATTTGTAAAAGTTGTTTCTTGGGCAAGTGTATGTACAGCATCTCTATTATAGATTCTTGAAATTAGTCGTTCAGCAATCAAGATACATAAACGAAACACGATATTTTCATTTAAAATTCAATATGATCTTAGTTTTTGTTTATGACATTCTTAGATCAAATAATAACACCTAGTCAACATGTTAATGACTATATTATTTTTATCGTTTAATTAATTAAATTTCATTTTACATTGAATGAATCAAGAAAA